GGAGAATGTATAATGAAAGAGCTTTGTTTATAATTTATTATTTTTTTATTCATCATTTAAAATGATTAGAGCATATGACACATTTGTTTTCTTATTGACCATTCATTATATACTTAATGATGAATGTATTTGTATGCTTACTAGAATTAACTCTTTATTTTTTAAATATATTTTATTTTACCCTTTAATTATATTTGAGTTTTAAATATTTTTATTTCTTTCTTTATTAATTAATTTTTTATATTAAGCATTTAATGATAAATCACTATGAAATATAAATTCCATATGGATTATATAAAATTTTAATTTCCTTTTTATTTTGATAATTATGACCTAAGATTTTTATTTATTTATTTATTCATTTTTTTTTTGTATTTTATGTAAATAAAATAACAAACTGAAATAGTTATTTTTGTATTTATGTTTGTTTGTGAAATTTTAGATATAATGTATGTTCAAAAACTACTAATTAAATTAAAGGGTTATATATATATATATATATATATATATATATATATATATATATATATATATATATATATATATATGTATGTATGTATATATAACGAAAATGTCATTTAATTAGATGTTAAAGTTAGTGAAGTTATTGAATTGATAATCTTTTAGATTATAATATTGTTTAACCATTATAAATACTCTAAATTTAAGGCCAACCAATCACACTCACAATAACAATAACAATAATAATAACATGATGTTTATAAATTTGGATAGAAATACTTTATTGTATCAAGTTCTAAGAATGTTTCATAAAAGCATCAAGATAACAAACATATGAAATAACTTATTAGTTGCTTAAATCCATGTTTTGTTGTATTGTTCAGCCCGATTTAATCAAATTTTAATATCTTAAATTGACCTTAATTAAACAAAATAAGGTTTTAGTTAAATTAGTTTTAGGTTATTTAGTTTAGTTTATTTTGGTTACGACATGCTCTTTTAGTCTATTTTAGCCTTTAATAGCTAGTACACCATGCGATATTGACCATTTGGACCAAATAACTTACATTAAGCCGCCTTATAAAGCTAAAAAAAATAAGTTCAGAGATTTTCATATCGAGGATGAAGACCAACTCATTGGTGAGTATTGCTTCCTTTCAGGTAAGTAGGTTTTCATATCGAGGATGAAGGTTTCGATTGAAGTCGATTTCGTGAGTTTTGGTTTAAATGATTCCCAAATTTATTTTTTAGCATTATAGGGGCATAATGTGAGTTTTTTTTTTTTTTTGGTGTAAATGGTTACTGTCTCATGATGTACTCGTTATTAAAGGTTGAAAAGGAGTAAAAGAGCAGGTCATAACCTACCTTATACCCTAATAAAGTGAAAAAATTAACTTTAGGGATTGATTCAACCAAACCTAGAAACTTTGTAGGGTATTTGTGTCATTTACCCTTGTTAGGAAGTAAAGCGGATAACTAGGAAAACCAAAAGCACACAAGACACAATATTTACGTGATTACGTTAAAGTGACCTACATCCACGGGCAGGATGGGATTATTTTTTATTTCAAAGTTCTCAAACAGAGGTTTCAAATGCAGTTTCATAGAGACTCATCTATCACTCTAGAATTCCAGACACTTCAAATGACTTAGCATGCATCCATATTTAGACTTGAGGGATCAGACCTAAAACCCTAATGGGCCAAGCCCATTGGCCCATAGGCCCATGAAAGGTGTCAAGCAATCATATTCCCTCATGCAACATCTTTTGGAACATTCATCCATGACATACAACATATGAGTATCGGCACCGCACATGATGGAGCACCTTGTGCCATAGTGGAGTGCACTGGTGGCGCATCATGAACACTAATGGCTCAACATCAATCATGGTTTCACAACATGGTGTATTCCTTGGGAATCACTAGCTTCTGAGCATCAAAGGGGACTTTGTGACTTATTAGGGATATAATGGCTCATCAAGGAACCAAGATGGAGCAACATCTTCCTTCATGGTGCAATTTCATCCTCCATGGCCCAAATTCATTACTTATGGCGCAACATGTTCACTTGTGGTGCAAGATCCTTCCTTGTGGTGCAACTCCCTTCAGTTTAGCGCAACATGCTCCAAAAGATGGCACGACTGTTCACATGACGCAACATTCGTCAAGAGATGGCACACTGTACAACCTCTTGGCGCAACTTCAACATGGATGGTATGAAATGTTGCTCCAAGTTGCTCAAAGTTATCTAAGTTTCTCCAAGTTGCTTCTTAACCCATTTCAAAATATCATTTCCTTTGTCACTTGATCTATTCTTTGTCTGATGATCCATTCCCTACTCAAATGATCATTTCCTTTGTCACATTCTCCATGAATCCCAAGTGCTCCATTGAGTTCTAAGTGCTCCATTGAAATTAATTGATCCATGAGAATGCTCCAACTGCTCAAGTCACATTTAACAATATCCACCTTAACTTTAGCATCCTTCTTGCCATTCATCCCTAAAAAGGACTTACCTCCTGCGAACATCAAGCAATTCCAAGCAAAGCTTGAAATTCTCTCTGGGAAACAACCTTGTCACCATGTCTTATGGGTTCTCTTTGGCGCCAAACTTTTGAATGCATAACTTGTCATAAAACATGATAGGTTTCTCCTATTTCAAGAGAAGACTCTGAACGAGACCAACCGTCAATGATCTTCTTATCTCCATATCACTTTCATAGTCAGAGTCTGTCAATCCAACCAAGTTTGTATGTTGTGCATTGGCACCATACACCATACAAACATCAAGTGTTACCTTCAAGTGTCGCATGATCCACTTGACCACTTCCCAATGAGCTTTTCCCCGATTTCCTTGAACCACCAAAAAAGTACCAACAAGTTTGGACTGATCATAATAGAACGACCAAAATACTTTCTCAATGCAGTGAGAAATGTATGAAAATCTTTTCTTCATCTCTCTAAATCTCCATCCCTGCTATCTTCTTTTCAGCTCCTAAATCATTCATCACAAACTCATTCTCGATAAGCTTTTTCAACTTATCTTTCCTGGCATCAACATCACTAGACACTTCTGCTAGGTTTTGAGAATAACAACAATTCCTAAGTGTGCATGCAACCCTAATGCTTTGGATCTAGGTTTTCTCTAACTAAACATGCAAACTTGAACACAAAAGGAGAAACCCTAGGAAGTGTCTACTATTTTCGAAATTCATACAAAACTAGGGTTAGATTACATACCTTGATTGTTATATTGTAATAACAATGATTCCCTTATAGATCTTGAATCTTGAGAACTTAGTGTCACAAGTGTAACACCTCTAATAGTTCACAAACACACAATGAAAGAGAATGATATGAGAGAGGAGGAATCGATCCAAAATTTCGGTTTCTTCTTCTAAGAAAGAGTGACCAAAATTCTCATGCTCAAGGACCCTATTTATAGTGAACCAAGGATGCTATGGATAACCCTAATTTCAATAAAATATCTTTATCTCAAATATGGTAATTATCTACCTCATTTGATTATCCACATAGGATAAGATTTCTCGAAACTCTAGAATCATCTTTTATATATATATATATATATATATATATATATATATATATATATATATATATATATATATATATATATATATATATATATATATATATTATAAATTTCATCCATATCCTTCCATAGGAAGGTTTTGGACCCTTTTGCTCAACTATTGAACAATTACACTTTCAGTCCCTACATTTTCAATTAACTCCTTTATTCCTAAAAGTAATTCCAAATTAATTTTTGATTAAATATTAATTAACAATATGATTAATAATAATATATATTTCCATAACATATTAATAAATCATTTATTCCAATTTATTAATCAATTAATAAATTCTTCCTCTTACTCAATAATCATCCTATCTAGTTGCACGTGTAAAGGCAACCCCAAAGGACCATGCCACTCTCAATTCAGGTACATAAAAATTATAGATATGGACTTAGACACCTAATCCAACAACTTCTTCCCCGGTCTGATCAAGGGATTCCTCATGTCTATGTTGTTTCATGCCTCCTTGCTGTTCCTCATTTATCAAAAAAACTGTGTGGGGTTTCTGTTTTAAACTCCACCTTCTGGCTAGCATCCTAATCGTTCCCTTCAATACTTGTACCCCCTCCTCTCTGGTTACACATTGCAGATTCAAAGGTCACATCTATGCTAATAATGAAATTTGGAGTTTTTTCCTTCGATTGTACATTATAGACGATGAACTTTCCCTCCATATGCATATCGTAGAAATATGTACTTCATTACCCTCGGCTCCAGTTTACCATCATTCACATGATCTAAGCAGGGTATCCAAACATTCCAAACTTGAATTCTCAGAGGTTTTCCCAGACTAATCCTCTTGAGGAGTGTTACAATCAATTGAAGTTGATGGAGATCTATTCACCAGATAACAAGCAGTGTTAACTACTTCTGCCTATAATTGCTCTGACAAATCAACAAATAATCACATATACTGAGCATTCTCCACTAGTGTTTGCTTGGTTCATCTATTCTATGACTTCGCTTTGCTGAGGTGTTATCTGTAAAGTGTGATACCTCACTGCATCTTCGCAGAAGTTGTCAAATGAAGCCTTGTATAACTCCAACCCATTTTTTGGTCCGAATGACCTGTCATGGTCCGCAATTGCTATAATAATTAAGAGTTGATCGATAGATTCTAAACATAAAAGTAAATCAGTCAATGAATGCAAATATCAAAGTTGTGTAGAATGATTAAAAACCAATGCCTTGGAAGAGCTCGATGAAGAACTTCTACTATAAAGGAAAGTAGGGTAAAATACAATTGATACCTTAATATGGTTTATGCCTGCACTATATATAGTCTAACCCTATAAAGTGTAAACATTAAAGACCAGGTGGATAGGACCAACCCATCACATAATGGATTATTATAGTACAAAACATTATTAACACAACAAAAAATATCACAACAATCTCCCCCTTTGTGTCAATAAGGAATGCAAATTCTTCAATTCTGTTAACGTTTTTGAACAATGAAAAGTTTCAGGATTATCCCCAACGGAGTTTTGTGAACCAAGATGTACCACTTGATCATATCTATGAAACATTTCTTGTCCCCAACACTATTCACTTTGCATTGATTTATCAACTCCAAGATGTATTCCAAGCATTGAGTGGAGTATAGATGCTTGTTAGGCACAAAGACGCAAACTCTATGAAAATCAGAATAAGCTCTTTCTAGTATTTGAAATGCCACACTCCAATCATCCTTTCGTATTCTTCCCAATTTCATCTTTTCAAGATCTTTCAGAGTCTCCTTAGGATGCACTGTAGGTTTCTTGCGAAGGACTGTCGCAATTTCCACATCCATCTTCCAAATTTCTTGCATGTAACAATCCAACAAACTTTTGAGATGCGCAACAAGTGGTTCAAATTTGTTTTCATCCTTTAGAAAGAGAAGAAGTAGAGAAATCCAATCAAATGGGTTCAAACACGACAAATCAGTGAGTGTAAATTCAAACACTAAACTCACAACTCTTCATGCAACTTTGAAACAAGCATTCAGGAAGCTTTGATTTTCAATGGGGACATAAACCTTCACAACAATTATTTTCTTTGAACTGCATGTTTCGTAATATGGCTTCATGTGCTTGAGATAAAATGAGAACAACATCTGATCAACATAATTTTCAGAAAGAGAAGCATTTGCAATCTTGTCAAAACAACGAAATTGAAAGGCCTTTGGAGTAATTAGCAGATCAAGCTGCGAATCAAGAGAGTTCTCTAATTCAAACAATCCAATAGGTTATAGTGAAAAAACATTTAGGTTAGTAGTGGCTTCATTCAAGATGCTTTCCATTGACCATAAATGGAAAGAGTTTTCTGAGATTCCAAAGTTTCCTCAGCTTCACGAACTGCCTTCTCTTGTTCTTCAGCCTCCCTAGCAACTCACATGTTTTCATCAATTTCATCATCATGAGTTTTACACTTTAACTTTTCATTTTCATCTTCTTCTTCCTCATCATCATCATTAACCAAATTTTCTTTTCCTCTTGATGCCGAAGCTACATTATTCTTCAGATCATTAGACTTTAGTTTTTGTTCGTGATCATCACCACCATCAGTTGCTTTGTCATCACCAGAAGTTTTCCTCGTTTCTCCCCTTTGTTTTGGAATCGAAGATTCCGAAACACCCTTAATTCGGTCAAGAATAGAGAAGATGGGCTTCAATTTCTTAGCAAGATGCTGATGAACAGAGAATGTGAGGAGGGAATCACAAGTCTTGATGAGATTATGCAAGTGATCATTAACATCAGCAACCCAACTCTTGATTACAACTTTTTCGGACTTTAGGTCTTCAATCTCCTTGTTGGCATGAAAGAGACGGGCATCAAAAACTTCCACATTTTCTGTTTTAATGGAAAACTTATCCATGAGAGCATTCTCAGTAGTAATATCTGCTTGAAGCTTTTCAATCTTGGAAGTGATCGACGTTTGTAGCTCTACATTAGTAGCCTAGATGCCAGAGCGAACCTTGGAAAGAGCTTCTTTATAAGTTGAGAGTGTTGTACAAAAGTTCATAATTACCTTGTTTGCAGAGCCTGTTTTATGTTATGAAGAAGCTCACAAGTCTTCCATAAATAGTTTAACATCAGAAAGTAGTTTATCGAGTTTTTCGATACTAGAAGAAGGTTAGGAAGACTCAAGGAGAGTACCCAACTTATCATTTAGAGATTTAAATGGCCCCATTGTCATCGGAGCATCTTCATCATCACTAGGTTGTTAGACGTTGAAAGGTTTGTAGTGTAAGTCTTCAAAAGCATCCCGATCATCACCAAACAATGAATCGGGATCATCATGGCGAAGAGGTGAGATGGGAGTAAAATCAACACCAAAAGTAAAACCAGAAGCCCTTGCCCCTATATCATACAGGTTGATAGTGACCGATGGTGTACTAGTGGTTGTTATTGTAGTTGCTGTTGAATCTGTGAAGAAAGGAACGAATTGTGCAACAGGCACCTGGGATTGCGAAACTCCCACAAAAACATTCGGACAGGGAGCTATCATGATAGGTGTAGTAGTAGTAGTAGTAGAAGGTTGAGAAAAATCCTGGAAAAATTCATCTGTTAAGGGAACAGAAGTTGGCACGGAAAAAGTTACCTAGGATTGGTTGTTGATGGCTCCGAAACTATGGGTTGCGAAGTCATAACTATGTCTTTAGTCTCACATTGGACTTGCTCTGGTGTACAAACTTCAGAGATAGTGTGCGACTTTGAATCCTCCTCATTATCTGGGGAAGGGGACCTTGGCTTATGATAGGCTCGTTGGAGTTTCTTATTCGGAGTATGAATAGGCTTGGAGTGTCCAAACTTCACTTTTTGTTTACCCCTTTCTTTGGCTTGTCAGCCTTTTCTAAGACCTTTCACATCTCTGCGGTTAGTGGTCGAGGACCGGATGCTGGTTATCTGTGATATTTTTTGATAACTTCACTGTCTGCTGGAAGATTACGAAGCATGATCTCTGGAATATATCCAATGAAGGCGAACCTTGAACTGTCAGACAAAATAACATTTGAAGTGTGAAAATGGGAATTTTTGCAAGCGCCGAACCCTTGATCACTGGAATGTTGTGACGATCAAGAGCCCTCTGAACAATGATGGACCAAAAACAAGCACATGATATCTCCGAGTGCCATGTAACATATATAGTACTCTGAACTAGTTGAGCCGAAAGGACTGACTCGTAATCTAGATTGATCCCAAAGTAAATACCATAAAGAATAGTAAGAAAAAGCTTACTTGCGCTATCTAAACCCATTACCTTCTCTAAAAAACTCTTGAAAATTAGGGTAAATAGCCCATTCCACATGGGAGGAAGATTAGGCTTATTAAACTTGGATACAATCGCAAGATAGTTTCCGTAACCCGTGTGGTAGAACATCTCCAGAATAGTAGAAGAGGAAATGGATTCTAGATCGATCAAATCCCTAGCTAATGAAAGCCCCAATAATCGACTATATCTGGAATTTGTGATTGATGTTTGAAGATTACCAAGCTCGAAAATAATAGTAGCACTACTCTCTTCATAATGAGTAGTAAAGAAAGTTTGGATATGAGAGACAAAGGAACAAGTTCTGTCTTCGATAGTGCAGTAGCCAAAGGAGAATGTCTTAGGCATTCAATTAGCGGATGGAGAAAGGCATCATAGTTTGATGGATCAAGGTCCAAGATGAGAGTATGATTACCCTTGATGCCCATTAGCTCTGATGAAGCAGTCTGATCAGTAGCAAAAGGAGTTTCTAATTAAGCAGCCATGGAAATTGGTGGAGAAGATGATGAATAGTAGTGAGAGAAAAGGGTTTTCTTGCACCGGAAGAAGAAATTATGTGAAAGCGGAAAAAAGTATGATGCTTTAAATTTCCTCATATACGTAATTAGTGGTGAGAGAAAATCGGCATTTGGCGCTCCATAATCACTGAAAAGCGTCTGAAAAGGCGTGACATGTTGGCATGTGTCAGAAGGTGTGATGTCAGGCTAAGTTTGAAATCTTCACACACCAATATCACAATCTTATCCCTTAGAATCCGCCGTTTCATTTTATACTTTCATAGTTGTTCACCAATTCCTGTTCTCCGAATCTGAAACTAATCATTAGAAATAGAAACCAGACTTTTTGAAAATCACAAGGATCTTCATGCAAGAGTGTTCCAAAGATAAAGATATAAAGCAAGTTATCTAAGGGATTCTAGTGATGTCAATAAAGACAAAAAACTATTGGATCCCGGGCAGTGATCTCTTCCTTCGGAGTCAAGAGAGACTCGAAAGTGTCTGTGTGATATCCCATTGAATTATGGTCATCTGTTTGTTGAAAAAAAGTGAAAGGCTTCTTTTCATTAAGGCTTAAGGATGGCTTCATTTTCAACCAAACTATAAAAGCGTTCGGAAAAAGTACTTGTCTAACCAGTGTAGCCATAAGAACAAGTATGCTTTGGAAATATCTGAGTGGATGGATAGTATAGACATCTTAAGAAAAATAAAAGTTGGATCTTATAGGAAGAAATATCTTAGGTCTAGAACATTTCATTAAGATCTCGCAAAAACAAGATAATGAGATATCTGTTGTATTAGGTGTCTAAGCCCATAACTATAATTTGTATGTATTTAATTCGATAGTAGCATGGTCCTTTTGGGTTGCATTTACTATAGCAACTTGATAGGATGACTTCTGGAAAAAGAGGTTAATAAATACTGTATTAATATATTATAAGAATAATATATATATATATATATATATATATATATATATATATATATATATATTGAGAAATCATATTCTTTAATTAGTATTGATCAGAAATTAATTCAGAATTAATTTAGTGGTCAAAGGTGACTGATTAAAAGTAAGGGGGACTGATATTACAAATCATTGATAGTTGCAAGTTGAGCTGTTGGATTACCTTGGAAGGGACTGGACGAAATCTATGAGAAGCCCATAGAAGATTTCATCCAAGGGTCCTTCTAGAAGGTGTCCATGGATTGCTTAACACTTAAGTAGAGAATTAGGGTTTCCACCTAAAACCATAGCAGTCTCAGCTATATAAAGGACCATTGGCTTATAGTTTTCGACTCTATGCACTCATAGAGAACCCTAGCCAAAATTTAGAAGCCTCCATCACCTCTCTCTTCTTGATCCTTTGCTAAGTGGTGTTTGTGACTCCATTAGCCGTGCAGTACTTGAGACACTAAGCTCTTGAAGGTCAAGATCAAGCTACTAAAAAGAAAAGTATTCTTGTAAAGCCTAATATGTTTAGATTTTGTTTTCTAGTATGCTAGATTAGGGTTTTGCTTTGGAAAAATTAATTTGCATGTATAATTTGAGAAAAACCTTGATCCAAACCAGTTAGGGTTGCGTGGGCACATAGGGATGTTGTAATACTCAAAAACCCATCAGTGATATCAGAGCTTAAGGTATTTTTTTTGTTATATTTGATGCAATTGTAATTGTTTCAAGTTGGATCAAAAATCATTTTTTACTCACTGTCTGCTGAACTCGACGAGTTCTATGATGAACTCAATGAGTTGGATCAACTCGATGAGTCCACGCCCTAACTCGACGAATTGGTTCGTCTGTTGGTAGATTTTTCAAATTTCAAGCCTAAATTAGATAAGCATAATTACCTTAAATTGTTTTAACTGATTAAAATGGAATTTTCTAATATGGTAATGGATATCCTTATCTAATTAGAAGATAATGGTTAAATTTTAAGATGATGTTCAAAATTGTATGATTATCTTAATTATTTAAAATTTGATCTAGAAACTTTTGAAAAGTTTCAAAAATTTCCCTCAAGTTTTGGATTTTAAAATTTAATTAAAAGTTTAATTTTGAAATATTAAATTCTAAAACTCTAGTATTTTAAAAGTTTAAAACACAACCCTTATACTATTATAATATTAAAAGATTATATATATATATATATATATATATATATATATATATATATATATATATATATATATATATATATATATATATATATATATAAGATGAGCCAGTCTTACCGTTAGTAGACCTCATTCATGAAGCTGATCTATAACCCATATGGAAACTGCCTATAAAATGGCGGTTGAATAAGTTTCCACTCTCACACATTGCTTCGTTGATTGGTGGAGGGTTATTAGCTGAATGGGTAGGATATGAATTTAATTCCTCATTAATAAGTATACTGAAAGGTATAAAGTAACTAACTGTTATTATAAATTTCCAATCTTAGTTACTTTAGGATAATGTGAAAATGATGCTAGTACATGAAATTGCACTTTGCACCTTGCCAATTCGTTAGTGGAGCGTGTCTGGTTAACCAACACATTAACTTGGACTAACAAGTGTGGTAAAGGCTAGCTCGAGAATTACCATTAATCAATGGTGCATGTGTGGTTAACCGACACATTGATTAGATGGTAAATGACATCGAGAGTGCCAAGCTAGTTTGGATGGTTATTTACACCTTGTTTGTGATCCTCGGTATCTCTGTCACAAACTTGAAGGGAATTATCGAGATTAAACATGACATTGAAAAGTTCAATGAATCTCAAAAGAATCTAGGAATTTCATTTCTTTTAAAACCTAATTATTTATTTTGTTTTTCATGGTGGATTTGGTAAATCATCATTTACCTACCTTCAAACAATTTTCAATTGGATTACGGAATCCCTCTTCTGAATTGTGAATTATTGTGTTGGGTCCTAGCCTTAATATTTTATTTGGGTGTTATATTAAGGATTCCTTATCTAATCTAAACTTTGTTCTTTTCTTTTTCAGATGTATGGCTCAAACAACGCTTCTGGCTCGAACTCCAACTCCTCAAGCTCCTTTTCTCTCATGTAACATCCTGAATCTTAGGTATTATATTATATATTTATTTTCGGGATTTAATGAGTGACTCGATGAGTTGTATGCCTGACTCGTTGAGTAGAGTTGGTTTAAGCATATGGGTTTAATGACCGACTCGACGAGTCAGAGTGGCGACTCGTCAGGTTGGCGCTGAGTGAGGAAACCCTAAATCCCTGGGTTTGTGACCTATTTAAGGGTCCTTAAGCCTTTATTTCCGCCTCACCATTTACCTTACACCCCTAAGAGAAACCCTAATCGTCCACTTGAGCTAGAGAGTGAGAGAGGAGCTAATCGTCTGGTTGTTAAGTGCACTTTTGAAGGAGAAGAGGAGAGTATAATGGTTGGATCAAGAGGAGGCTTTGGATCTAGAGGTTCAACAGAGTTTTGCTTCAGTTGGAGGTAAAAAGATGCTAACTTGATCATTTCCTAATGAGATATTGGTTTAGGGAGTTTCTAGGGTTTTCTCCCATCCCTTTGGTGTCATTTGAGTCCTTTGAGCATGAATTGAGGTAAAAATCTATCACACCCCCAAACCAGAACAGCGGAAACGTTCGACGGCGGAGGACGTCATATTCAGTATCATAACAGTTCATAGAAAGGAAAGTACACACCACCATATATATTAAGTTTTTCAAAATGTTTACATAATTGTATTCGTTACGTGATCAAAAGATAAATACATAAACATCTTTCAAAAGAAGTAATTAACGTCAACACGTTAATCCCCAAAAGTTGATCTCCAAACCTGCTTAGCGGTTCCCTGAGAATACAAGTTATTTCAAAGAAAAAGTGTCAACAATTAAGTTGGTGAGTTCATAAGTAGTGTTTTGAGAAAATGTACGCCATTCAAAAGTTCGTGTATGTTTTCCAGAAAACACAGTATTTCAAATGTAAAGAGTTATGATTCGTTGTGTTGACAATGAATGTATTAGATCCAGAAAATCCCATATTTTCCCTAATGGTTGAGATACGAACTGTTGTGTTTTCCAAGAAAAACCCTTATTTTCTTATAAAAGTATGAAATGCATATGAATGTTCATGTTATAAGTTGTAAGTAATTGCACCAGTAAAATTCCTTATTTTCCTATTAGTTGTTTGGTTTGTATCCAGGAAAAACCCTTATTTTCCTAACATAACTAGCAGTCTCTAAGACCGAAAATCGCAAGCAACCGACATGCTTAAAAGTTGTAGCATAGTTTTAATAGCTACTCGTTCATAAAAGCATAATACCGTGTTAATTGTATATCCGGTGAGTTTTATAACCATACTAAACATAATATGCCTGTAGCGACGTTCTTCAGGCGTCGTAGCGTTATGACAAACTGTCACCCCAAAGGACGGACTGTAGCTAACAGTCAGGGCGCGGGATCATGACTTCCTGTATAGATCTATACACATTTGACACGTTGTCCGAACGGGAGACTCTGGTTATAGACAGGACTTGCAGCATTACTTTCTAATAAAGAAAAGTAACGTTTGAAGATATACACGTCTCATGGATTCTCAACTAAGCCTGTATTAAAGTGATAGTTTTTGTATGTAAAGTTTATCCTTTTTCACAATGTTTTACAAAGCATAAATCATAAGTTTTTAGAATGTATAAAACGACTTAACAATGAAAGGTACTTTGAAATCATTATATACTTTGCGTAAGTCTAATGCACACAAAGTATGACAAGAGTTTTCACATAGTAGTAATAAATCACAAGTGATTCATTTGATAAAAACGAGTAAAGTGAAAATTTTGATGTAGAAGACAAGTTTGTAAACAAAACATATATATG